ACTTGCATGTTTTATCTGTTGAAAAACTTGCTGTGCACAAAGAGTCAAAACCCCCATCCACACCAGAAATGACATCTGAGAGGATAGATACGCTCTTTAAAAAAAAGGAAAGTTAAATACAATACATATCGGTAATTTTCTAATTTATATGAACAAGATGAATATAGATTTGTTATTGAAACTAAATGAATTTCAGATTAGCTTAGATCTATATCTTTTTCATGCCAATTTCAAATACTTTTATTTTTTTTATTTTGGAATAGAATTAAAGAATACATTTCAGGTACTTTCCCCTCAAGAAAGAAATATTTTACATTTACTTTTAAGTTTTTATAATTTGTAGAATACAATTACATGTAGTCAGTTACCTTCTTCTCCCAATTCTTCAGTTCTTGAGGAGGTGGTCCTCCACCAGTCTTTCTGAGCTCAGCTTTCCTATAAAATATTTAAGAAGAATCATTTTTATACTTTTTTATCTGGATGTAAATATAGATTGCTCATATGATCATATTTATAACGCCAGAGGGGCTTTATGGTAGATTTGATCATGTACTAACCTGTATTTACATGCCAATAAATGTTTAACCCGAAGTCTCTGTCGAGACTGAAGCTCTACTGGCTTGTACTTATAGCAAAGAAAGAGGAAAGTACTTAAGCAGTTGGGAATTGAAATTTTATGAAACTTTACAACAGCAATTAATAGAATAATGATGCCTGAATAAGTCTCTTTATGTTCTTACTGTAGACTAATTGCGTGCCACATTGTATTATAATCAGACCAAAACTGTATCTGAAGTAGCATTTTGGGAATATTTAACAGTTAACAGACTTTGCTATTTTTTGTAACCACATAACACCGTTCATCGAAATCAAAAACCGATACACAGAATTATGTATCTTAGTGTAGTCTACTTGTGTGCCAATTTATATTGAAATCAGACCAAAATTGTAGGAGGAGTAGCATTTCAGAGCTCCAGATAAGGTGTGTATTTGCAGAAATACACATTAAATTTTACAAAATATGCATTGAAAAGTAAAATAGAGCGTACAATTACGCATTAGCAATCATAGATACGCATTACACCACGAATGTACAGCGTACAACAAGTATAAGAATACAGGTACGACTAACTTAATGATTTGGAAGTGAAAGTAACTTGGCTTTGAAAAAGTTGACCACTAAACCCCCCCCCCCCAACTCCCCGCTCCCCGCCCCCCCCCCCCCCCCCACCACCACCACCACCACCACGAAATAGGATTTTCGAGTTTGGGCAACTTTTAAATTTCCATTTTTTTAATTTTTTTTTTTTTTTTGCTTGTCAACTTTTCCAAGTAAACCAGAAGTCTCTGTCGAGACTGAAGCTCTACTGGTTTGTACTTATAGCAAAGGAAGAGAAAAGTATTTAAGCAGTTGGAAATTGAAACTTTTCAACAGCAATAAATAGAATAATGATCCTTGATTAAGTCTCTTTATGATCTTAGTGTAGTCTACTTGCATGCCACATTATATTATAATCAGACTAAAACTGTATTTGGAGTAGCATTTTGAGAGTATTTAACAGAAATTTCTATTTTTAGTACCATGGCAACACCATTCATTGAAGTGAAAAACTGATATACAGAATTATTACCTTAGTGTAGTCTACTTGTATGCCAAGTTATATTGAAATCAGACCAAAATGTAGGAGGTGTAGCATTTTGAAAGAATTTCACAGAAATTTCTATTTTTAGTAACCACAGCAACACCGTTCATTGAAATCAAAAACCGATATACAGAATTATGTATCTTAGTGTAGTCTACTTGTGTGCCAAGTTATATTATAATCAGACCAAAACTGTAGGAGGTGTAGCATTTTGAAAGAATTTCACAGAAATTTCTATTTTTAGTAAACATGACAACACCGTTCATCGAAATCAAAAATCGATAAATAGAATTATGTATCTTAGTGTAGTCTACTTGTGTGCCAAATTATATTGAAATCAGACCAAAAACTGTAGGAGGAGTAGCATTTTGAAAGAATTTCAAAGAAATTTCTATTTTTAGTTACCATGGCAACATCGTTCATCGAAATCAAAAACCGATACACAGAATTATGTATCTTAGTGTAGTCTACTTGTGTGCCAAGTTATATTGAAATCAGACCAAAACTGTAGGAGGTGTAGCATTTTGAAAGAATTTCACAGAAATTTCTATTTTAAGTAACAATAGCAACACCATTCATTAATATCAAAAACCTATATACAAAATTATATACCTTAGTGTAGTCTACTTGTGTGCCAAGTTATATTGAAATCAGACCAAAACTGTTGGAGGAGTAGCATTTTGAAAGAATTTCAAAGAAATTTCTATTTTTAGTAACCATAGCAACACCGTTCATTAATATCAAAAACCGATATATATAAAATTATATACCTTAGTGTAGTCTACTTGTGTGCCAAGTTATATTGAAATCAGACCAAAACTGTAGGAGGAGTAGCATTTTGAAAGAATTTCAAAGAAATTTCTATTTTTAGTAACCACAGCAACACCATTCATTGAATTCAAAAACCGATATACAGAATTATGTATCTTAGTGTAGTCTACTTGTGTGCCAAGTTATATTGAAATCAGACCAAAACTTTAGGAGGTGTAGCATTTTGAAAGAATTTCACAGAAATTTCTATTTTAAGTAACAATAGCAACACCGTTCATTAATATCAAAAACCTATAAATAAAATTATATACCTTAGTGTAGTCTACTTGTGTGCCAAGTTATATTGAAATCAGACCAAAACTATAGGAAGAGTAGCATTTTGAAAGAATTTCAGTGAAATTTCTATTTTTAGTTACCATTGCAACACCGTTCATCGAAATCAAAAATCGATAAATAGAATTATGTATCTTAGTGTAGTCTACTTGTGTGCCAAATTATATTGAAATCAGAATAAAACTGTAGGATGAGTAGCATTTTGAAAGAATTTCAAAGAAATTTCTATTTTTAGTTACCATGGCAACACCGTTCATCGAAATCAAAAACCGATATAAAGAATTATGTATCTTAGTGTAGTCTACTTGTGTGCCAAGTTATATTGAAATCAGACCAAAACTGTAGGAAGAGTAGCATTTTGAAAGAATTTCACAGAAATTTCTATTTTTAGTAACCATGGCAACACCGTTCATCAAAATCAAAAACCTATATATAAAATTATTTACCTTAGTGTAGTCTACTTGTGTGCCAAGTTATATTGAAATCAGACCAAAACTGTAGGAGGAGTAGCATTTTGAAAAATTGTTTACAGACAGACAGATGGACAGACAGACAGACAGACAGACGGACGGACGACGGACGCATTACTATCGCATAAGCTCTTCTGGTCTCTGACCAGTAGAGCTAATGAAATAAAAATTTTCTCTGGCTGCCCCCTCCCCCCCCCCCTCCCATTTTCAAAAACGATGCTACATGGCTGATATATAAACAAAATACTCTTCAATCATTTTGCTGAAAATCAAAATCTGTATTGATTTGAAAATCAGGAAGTAAATACACTTTGGGGAAAAAAATTATCTGGAGCTCTGGCATTTTGAAACAATTACACAGAAATTTCTATTTTTAATAACCACATCAACACTGTTCATCAAAATCAAAAACCGATAAACAGAATTATGTACCTTAGTGTAGTCTACTTGTGTGCCATGTTATATTAAAATCAGACCAAAACTGTAGGAGGAGTAGCATTTTGAAGGAATTTTACAGAAAGATTTCTATTTTTGGTAACCACAGCAACACGGTTCAACGAAATTAAAAACTGATATACGGAATTATGTATCTTTATGTAGTCTACTTGTATGCCAGGTTATTCTGAAATCAGACCAAAACTGTAGAAGGAGTAGCATTTTGAAAAATTGTTTACAGACAGACAAACAGACGGACGCCGGACACATTACTATCGCATGAGCTCTTCTGGTCTCTGACCTTTTTATTTAATTCACAGTTCTGATCAATTATAATAAACTTTCTAAATACCGGTAACAAAAAGTTTACAAATTAAAATCTATATATATATATATATATATATATATATATATATATATATATATATATATATATATATATATATATATATATATAAGCAGATATTGTGTTTCTGTGCCTCTTTATTTAACTATACCAATCAACCAATTAGTTTTGAAAAGATTGGCAAGGGCACTACTTAACATGCCTAATGTTAATTGGAATTCATAGCAAAAACACTCATTGAAATGAGTCCTTATTGTATTCATCAATTTATTAAAACCTGTAAGCCAAAATGAGAAGTGCAGACTGACAGGCAACTCGGGCTAATGGTCAATACAGATAAAGTAGCTTTCTGTATTGTTCCCTATATAAACTAGAACTGGCCAAACGGGACAAAATACCCCCTGCTGGGTTTTTCAGAAGTAAGTTTTTCCATGATAAAGATATGTATCAAACACGAATTATGATATTTTTCTTCCAGTGACCTTGAAGTTCCCCAAATGACCTTGGGTCAAGGTCATGACACACCCTTGGGTCATGGGCAATCTTTGTGTGAAATGAGAACCTACCAAGTTTATCCATAAGAAAGATATGGACCGGACACAAATTATGAAATTTTTCTACCAGTGACCTTGAACTTCTCCAAATGACCTTGGGTCAAAGTCATGACACACTCTTGGGTCATGCGCAATATTTGTGTGAAATGAGAACCTACCAAGTTTATCCATAAGAAAGATATGGACCAGACACAAATTATGAAATTTTTCTACCAGTGACCTTGAACTTCTCCAAATGACCTTGGGTCAAAGTCATGACACACTCTTGGGTCATGCGCAATGAGAACCTACCAAGTTTATCCATAAAAGATATGTATCAAACATGATTTATGAAAATTTTCTTCCAGTGACCTTGAACTTTCCCAAATGACCTTGGGTCAAGGTCATGACACAACCTTAGGTCATGAGCAATCTTAGTGTGGAGTAGTAGATTCTAATGTCCCTCTGTAAGAAAGATATGGACCGGACTAGCTGCAGATCTGTAGCGTTATGGTTTTAGAAATTTGTCTTTGACCATAACGCTACAGATCCTGTAATGCAAAAAAGGTGCAATTTACGGCGCAATATTTTTTGCGCACTTTTGGGGAGAATTTCTCCACTTTCTAGCATTGGTCAATCAACTACCTTTCACTCCCTAATTCTAGATACATTCTGTAGCCAATATGTATATTGTATCCACCTCCCAAACATTCATAGTTGTCTCTACAGGTAATAAACTCGTTTGAAGTGAAGTTTCAGCAATCTAAGAAAAAATTTTAATCAAGCGAGTTTATCACTTGTAGAGACGACTATAAAGGGTTGGGAGATGGATAAAAGATACAGATAAGTTAAATAATGTGCCTATAATTAGGGAGTGAAAGGTAGTTAATTGACCGATGCTGGGAAATGGAGAAATTCTCCCCAAAAGTGCGCAAAAAATATTGCGCCGTAAATTGCACTTTTTTGCACTACGGGATCTGTAGCGTTATGGTCAAAGACAAATATATAAAACCATTACGCTACAGATCTGCAGATAGGACCGGACACGATTGCACAGACGGACGGATGGACAGCTGGACAGACGGACGCCGGACAAAATGTGATCAGAAAAGCTCACTTGAGTCTTCGGCTCAGGTGAGCTAAAAATAGTATCAGTTATGAGAACAAATAATTTATTCTGGGTAAGGTCAGGGTGAATTTTATGTGCATGGTTCTTTTTATTTATTTATTTTTTGAATGAGTTTAGCCGCATCGGAAATGGGGGGGAGGGGTATTTAACATATTTATTTATATAATATATTTCATTAATTCATAATACATGTGAGACACAATAGTTTTTAAAACCCTTTGATCAGTGTTTCGCGATCGGTCAGATATATCTTAGCCTTCATTGTAAAGTAAATATAAACTATACACATGGGAACTGCAAAAATGTAGGTTGTTTTGCAAACCCTAGTCTAGGTCAAGGTCACTGTGAGAAGAGGTCAATTTTCTGAACAAATGAATCTAAAGTTAATTGAATTGAGTATGACAATCATTTTTTGTTTATATATGCTCAAGCTCATTAGTTCATTCATTACAACCTACCCTATACCATTAACCAAAAAATAATGGCTTACATTTTTAGGGGGTACATCACTCTGATGTAGAATATAGATAAATATTGTGGATAGAATAATTCTTTTTTGTGGTTATATTATCACAAATACATGTAAAACAAAATTTACAATGTTTTCTTATTGATCATCCCTACCATATTTTTCTTTGGCAGAATATTATAAATGTTTTTATAACAATAATTGCTAAAATTGTCACTGAAAGTAGACAAGTTCTCTCGATTACAAGTATTCATATATCATATCTGATGAATTTGAACTAAAAAAATTGAATGTCTACAATCCTAGGGCTTATTGTTACAGTTGAATACATGAAACATTAAACTGTTCTCTGGCTAACTAGAAAAATTACATCTCTACCCTTTGTCCATTAAGTGCACCACTGACGAGAGGGTACAGTTACATAAAAGAGCACATTAGAAATATGTAAGGGATACAAGACGAAGATGGTCTAATATGTCAGATACGGGACTGGGACGAGGTGCGAAGCACCGAGTCTCAGTCCCGTATCTGACATAATAGACCATCTGAGTTTTGTATCTTACTTAAAACATTTTTTCAATGCACTTTTGTATTGGCTATTGTCATAATATGATACTTGTGACGGTGTCCAAACCAGATGGATGGGGCGCTTAAGGGTTTCAGATATTTCTTTCAAAGGGATGAATAGTTTTTGAATTTAAAACCTTTATTGAACCCCAATCATATATTATTTACCGTTGTGACACTCTACGGAAGCATTAAGAAGAGCTGAGCAACTTCATGATTATAAGCGTTTCTGAGAGTATTGTGAAGGATCCTTTTTTAACGTATGAAGATTGTAAATGACCTATATTCCAGGAAAGTGCCGTTTTGTCCCTTGGATATCGAAAGCACCACATCATTACGTAAATTAATTTGGAAATATATTTTTAAATTTTCCGGGAAAAAAATCGGAGTTGTATGGGATATATAAACAGATCGAGTGTAAACTTGTCCGCATTTCGCTTTTTCTTCCCCTGAATGCTAACACTCTACAGTGGACCACTTTACGTGGATTTATTTGGATGTGTTTTCGGAAAAATCACAAATTTAAAATAAGTGCTTCAATATCGGTCGTTTCACAATCAGTGACCTGTCTGGACGGAGTGTAAATTCTAATGGATTTCTGAGATACTCCTATGTTGAATTTCGTTGCATAAATTGGTTTCTATAAAGTTTAAGAGCCATTCTCTGTAATGATTTGAAATTTTATATAGGATTGGCACGCATAGTCTCAGAATTTCTCCAAACTCTCTATGATAAAAGTCATTGATACCCTAAACTGAAATCAGCCAAAAATTGGTTGCTATGTTTTATAGTTACCATGGCAACATGTCTTAAAGTTCGAAAAATGGCATTTTTTAACATGTTTAGAGCCCCATAGTTAACATTTGCGGCAAAGCAAATAATTGGCAATGACTGTTTCCAAAAAAATTGAAGGTCAGATGTCTCAAATGCATGATAAACATGTTCGGTAAATCAACTATTACATACGTTACTATGGTAACAAAGTATTCAAAAGTAAAAAAAATATTCATTGAATTTTATAAAGTCATACACGTAAAAATAAAAAGCAATTATAGGATGAAATGTGACCAAATAATAGAAAGAAGAGCCTTGAAACATATACCAAGAACAAAATATGATTCTCATTTTGGTTGGCAATGGTTGCCAAGGTTTTTATACCACAGAGAGCCTTCAAAGTAACACTATGTATGTTTAAATCTGATCCTATCTTTTAAAAAAGGCACATTTCCTCATAACTAATGATCAATTTTATAAGATGTTGGTGTGCTCCAAGTTTTCCCATTTGAAAAAATTCAGATTAGATACTTTAAATAGACCGTTGCTATGGAAATAAGCAGAAAATATATGCTTAAAAACCTGAAAAATATTTTCTTTCCTTGGATACGTACCCTTAAATGTAGATTCCCAAAACTTTTATGATTGATATTTATTAACAGCTAACTTGACTTTTAATTTTGACTATCATCCAATCTCTAAGTGGATGCAAGAAGTTGGCACACAGGGTTTAATATTGATATAAAGTTCACAAAATCGAACATTTTCCCTTCTTGGTAACCATAGCAACAGTGTTGTTTTATTCATCAAATTTTATCAATATATGATATTCAACTTCAGTTCTAACAGATAAGTACTATTCAAGCTGAGTCCTTTAATTTGTTTCTTGATTAAATGGCAATTTAATTCTTAATGCAGCGAAAAATAATTCACTTTTAAGCACTGGTACTTTGTTTCCATGGTAACACTACAAAGTAGCAATTATACCCAATTTTTCTTATAGTTTTGGTGTTGCAAGGTCCTAAGGATGCATATTTGCCAGTCTTGAATTTTCATGTTTTTCCTCAAGACAGTAGCATTAACCCAATCTTAGTTACTGGTTTTGCATGGTTACACTGTGTTACCATGGCAACCATAAAAGTTATTTATAGAATAATATTGCTTATACTTATATACTTAAGGTCAAACATTTTCATTGTTTTTCTTAAGTCGTTGATTGAGTTTGAGCATGTAACACCTACCATTAGTGAATACGGAGTGTTTTTCAGCACATTTCAGCATTTTAAATGTATTCCAAATGTACCCTTGGTTACCACTTACTTAGAGATATATTCTAAACAGTTTCTTTACAGTATAAGTGACATCAAGGTGTCATGTTTTTGTGAGAATGGTTTGTTTGCTTTTTCTAGTTTTTATTAATCCACAGTCAAGATTTAAAGTGGCTGAAAATCTCGATTTTTCAAACTTTTCCGGCTGTTGCCATAGCAACCGAGACACATAGCAACGAAATTTTGTTTGATATTTGCTTCTGGTGTCAAGTACTAAGCAAGGGTGAAGTTTCATCAAAATCGGTGACCATGCGTGGCAACGAAGTTTAAGTGGTTACAGAGAATGGCTATTAAATTGGATTACGAGATGTTGCTTGCTACATTGCATGAATTGGATTACGAGATGTTGATTTCTATATAAAATGCATAATGTTTATTTTCTGCCTTATTCATCTAGGTGACATCACCCTTTGTTTCACACAGTCCAGTATTATTTTGGAGTACAATATTAGACATAATATTGTACTCCTGACAATAATATTGGACTATAGCTAGTACACTCTTTGAAATACGAGACTGTAGAAACAAAAGAATGACGTCAAAAAATGTTTTAAGTATGGATAAAATTGCATGAAACTAAGGGAAATATTGCCAAAAGTGCTGTCCATCATAACTATGCTTAATTTAGTCAAATGCAAAATCATGGCTATTACACCCCTAATACCTTAAATTCAATTTCATTTCATATGATGAAATATTTATGTGGAATTTATTTTACAAAGTAATGTGAACTTTAATTTTCATTTTAAAACAGATGCACAAGTGTTTTTTATATTTAATTATATCTAGACTTTGATTGACCCAGTGATGTATTCAAAGGGTTAAAAAATCACGGAGATTGTGGCTTAACAGATTTAGCTGTAGGCTCTTAAATTAAAAAATTTTAGGAGCCCACTTGGCCAGTGGAAATTTTAGTTAAGTTTAAACCTTGTATGTAGAAAGTGTGAAATAAGCAAAACAACAAAGAAAACAATAAATTACATATTTTATAAATTCATGTTAAAGAAATAATAGGAAATAAATGCAACAGTCTGCTTTTTATATACCAAACTATGACATCCGATTATAATCGGTAAAATCGCATAGGAAGCAGTAACCGATTCCAACCGATGATCGATTGTGAAAATTAACCAATGTCCCATCACTAACGATCTGCTTTTATTAGTACTTACTGTCAAATGTGGTGAAAAATCACGTCTCTACTGGGACTCGAACCCAGGGCTTCTGGCATATACCCTGTCAGAGCTCTAACCACTGAGCTATTGAGGCCTTGTGATAGTCTGAATGACTTTCACACACCTGTGACACTTACCTATTTCCTTGAGAAGTAGTCATGTGTAGCCTTGTCGCATTGCCCTGCGGGGCTTTCTCCTTTTTGATCCCCACTCCCCCTCCAACCAGGCCTAAGGAGGTCACTACAAAGTCAAATTTTGAATGTCATTATAACCTCTTCTTGAAATACAGATAACATTGCCAAGATATTATTGTTTTTTATTATTGCTGTCTGGCATCAAATGTTTTCAGGACCAAAATATAAACTAGTTATAATTGCAACTCAACCACCACAATACAAAGCAATAGGCCCATGGGCCACATTGCACACCTGAGTAAATTTGGTCATGCTGTTCTTTATCAGACACCCCCCCCCACCCACCCCCCAAATGCGTATTTTGATACACCCTACCCCCAGGAGTCTTGATTTTGATAATTAAGAATCTACACTTAACACCAGAATGCTTTTACATAAGTTTAAGTTTTCTGGCCCAGTGGTTCTTGAGCAAGTTTTAAAAGATTTTTCCTATATATTTCAATGTAAAACTTGAAATCCCTATTGCGGCCCCACCCTACTCCTGGGGGTCATGGTTTGAATAATTTAGATTATTATACTTCTGTTAAAATGTTTCCTATATAAAGTTCAGAGGGTAAAATAACCATCTTTTAAATTCTGAAAATTTCCAAGCATAACAAAGCTATACCTCTGGGTATAGTTTTTGCTATCCTGACCCCTCAGAAAATTTTCATGCAATTTTTGCCGCCAATTTTGATTTCCAGCGATAAATCTATAGACTGATGATGTCTTAATGACCTAAGTAGCATTGTGACGTCATCAGGATTTCATATTATTTTTGCAGTTTTGTCTTACTAAAAAAATTCAACCCTCAGAAATTATATTTTACATCAGTATACCAAGAGGCCCATGGGCCTTATAGGTCACCTGAGTATCGTGTAACAACTTTCAAACAATTAAAATTTGTTTGGGTTTTAAACCAGAGGCCATTAAATTCACAATTCACAATTTTGAAAGAGGCACTATTGCTTATCATAATTATAAACTTAGCATGCTTACTCTATTTACTTAATACCCAGAGGTAGGTCAGAGTGACAAAGAGAAAATGCACTTCCACTTTAAAACCAGGAGTTGTGCACCTCGTCCCAAAGGAACCACTGACCCTGGGGCCACATATTTAAAATTTTGCAAATTTTATCATAAAATGGTTGATTAATACTAAAAAGCAGATTTCAAAGCATTAATTTATTTTCAGACTACCGTATATACTCGTCTATTAGTCTATTTCAAACACAAATTATGAAATTTTTCTTCCAGTGACCTTGAACTTCCCCAAATGACCTTGGGTCAAGGTCATGACACACACTTGGGTCATGGGCAATCTTTGTGTGAAATGAGAACCTACCAAGTTTATCCATAAGAAAGATATGGACCGGACACGAATTATGAAATTTTTTCCTCCAGTGGCCTTGAACTTCCCCAAATGACCTTGGGTCAAGGTCATGACACACCCTTGGGTCATGGGCAATCTTTGTGTGAAATAAAAACCTACCAAGTTTATCCATAAGAAATATATGGACCAGACACGAATTATGAAATTTCTCTTCCAGTGACCCTGAACTTCCCCAAATGACCTTGGGTTAAGGTCATAACACACTCTTGGGTCAAGGGCAATCTTTGTGTGAAATGAGAACCTACCAAGTTTATCCATAAGAAATATATGGACCAGAAACGAATTATGAAATTTCTCTTCCAGTGACCCTGAACTTTCCCAAATGACCTTGGGTCAAGGTCATGACACACCCATGAGTCAAGGGCAATCTTTTTGTGAAATGAGAACCTATCAAGTTTATCCATAAAAAATATGTATCAAACATGAATTATGAAATTTTTCTTCCAGTGACCTTGAACTTCCCCAAATGACCTTGGGTCAAGGTCATGACACACCCTTGGGTCATGGGCAATCTTTGTGTGAAATCAGAACCTACCAAGTTTATCCATAAGAAAGATATTGACCGGACACGAATTATAAAATTTTTCTTCCAGTGACCTTGAACTTCCCAAAATGACCTTGGGTCAAGGTCATGACAAACCCTTAGGTCATGTGCAATCTTAGTGTGGAG